TCCAGGATTGTGTCACAGTGAACAGTGCTAGAGGCCCAATGTAAGAAATTTGTGCATGTGAAGGGTCCCTAGGCCAGGCTGGCAATCAGGGCTGATCAGGGCCTTCTGGCTGCTGGCCAGGGCCTTCATTCCCCAGCTGCCAGCTCCTGGCCAGGGCCATTGTTCATTCTGTGCTGCCCCCGGTGGTCAGCTCACATCATAGTGAGAAATAGAACTCCCAGTTGTCTGTTTGAACTCTCGAGGGGTCACTTTGCATATTAGCCTTTTATATATATATAGACTAGAGGCACAGTGCACAAAAGTTGTGCTCCCGCAGGGGGGTGGGGGGTGGTGGCTGTTCCTCTGCCAGGCCTGCACCCTCTCCAATCTGAGACCCCTTGGGGGATGTCTGACTCCCGGTTTAGGCACAATCCCTGTGATATCAGGCCTAAACCAGCAGTTGGACATCCCTCTAATGATCCAGGACTGCTGGCTCCTAAGTACTTGCCTGCCTGTCTGATTGCCCCTAACCACTTCTGCCTGCAAGTTTGATCACCCCTTGACCACTCTCCTGTGGGCCTGATTGACGCCTAACTACTCCCCTGCTGGCCCAACCACCCCCAACTTCCCTCCCCTGTTGGCCCAATCTTCCACAGGCTACCTTGGTTGTAGGCTCCTCCCTTATCCAGGAGGCAACCAATCAATGTGTTTCTTTCACATTGATGTTTTTCTCTGTCTTCCACTCTCTAAAAATCAATGGAAAAATATGCTTGAGAGATGATTTTTAAAAGTTTGTGCCAATTGGACAATATAAAATATTTCATTATTACTATACTTTTCATTTCTCTGACTACTGGAAGATTTGGGCTTGCTCTTCTGTGATTTTGTGTGCTGTTTATTAGCATTTTTATGTAAATTTGTAAGTGGTCTTTTTAATTTTAATTTTTTGTCTGCCATCTACAACTCAAATGCTTAAAATTAATCTAATGTCTTTATGTAGTAAATATTTTTCATATAAAAGTTTATACCTTTTTGTAGAAAAATATTGTTATTTTTATTATATAATTTTTGGTTTTCCACTCTTGATGATTGTCTTTTCCACTTCTTTATTTTATATATGTTTTTATAGTTCCCCTAAGTATTCTTTTCCTTGAAAGTTCTTCATCCATCTGAATTTATTTTTGATTTTACTTAGGGTATGAGATAGGAATACAACTTTTTTTTTCTTTCAGACATATAGTGAATGTGTGAGCACTATTGCAATAAAATACCATCCTTGTCATATATTAAATTTTCAAATGACATCTGGTCTGTGCTTGGATTTTTCATTAGATACCACTGATTTTTATTTGTATATAAATATGCCATTTTTACATTACAGAATATAGTGTTTTAAATATTTATTAAGGTAAATGTCTTTTAATTATACTTGTTTTTTATTTGTTATTTACAAAAATACTCTTATCATCAATTTAAGATACTTCTGTCAATTTCAAAATAATAATAATAATTTAAATCTCTGTGAACATTTTAATATGATTTGAAATATATTTATAAATATTGATGAAATTGACATTTATAGCCTAACTATTCTTTCCATCTAATACCACTATGCTATTTTCATTTTTTTCTGACTTTAAAGAATTTTCTTCAATCAGATTTACTCTTTCCTGTACTTTTCTTGTTAAATTTATTCCTAAGTGATATATATTTTTTGTTATGGTTGTTAAAGAACTTTCACCATTTTCATTTTTTGATGATTATTGCTAATAGAAAAAACCACAATAGTGTTTTAAAGAGTGCTGAGACACAATCAACCTGAATGTTAAGTAGAAACCTGGTGATAATGTGGAGAATGAATTTTTGTGGAACAAGACTGAGGAGAGAGTAGCCAGTTAGGAAGCCACTGTTGCAGTTCAAGTGTGAGGGAAGAAATGAATCTTGGTGTGGCTGTCAGATGGAGAAGACAGGATGAATGAAAGGTTGAGATGACGTTTGTGAAAGTTGAGTATTGACAATGTACATATACATTGTACAGGGAAGTGTTCAGATTTACTTTCAGATTTCTGGTTATTTTATGAAATCCTATCTAATAAAATATTAACATGCAAATTGACCATCACTCCAACACACAAGATGGCTGCCCCCATGTGGACACAAGATGGCCACCACAAGATGGTCAGCAGGGGAAGGCAATTGGGAGGGATCAGACCTGCAGGGGAGTGCAGTTTGGGTAATCAAGCCTGCAGGGGAGGGTAGTTAGGGGTAACCAGGCTGGCAGAAGAGGGACGTTGAGCGTGACCAGGCCTGCAGGGAAGGGCAGTTGGGGGGGACCCATGCCTACAGGGGAGAGAAGTTAGGGGTGATCCAGCCTGCAGGGGAGGGCAGTTAAGGGCAATCAGGCTAGCAGGGGAGCCACTGCTTACATCAGCTGCTGGCTCCCAGCACTAGCCCTGATTGCTCAGCACCATCAGTGGGTGTGAGTGGCAGCTGCAAGCTCTGACCACCTCTCAGGGTATCTTCCCCTCCCCCTGCTCCTGAAGTGCAATCAGGGCAGCAGCCACCATGAGCACCTGCACCTGCTACTGGCACCAGTCCCAATCATTCCGTGCCATCAGCAGGTGCTAGCAGGGCTAGTGTGTGTGAGTGGCAGCGGGAGCAGGGTTGCTGGCAGACAGGAGACTGGAACCAGGGCAGGAGGGACTGGCAGGACGAGGAGGATGGGCTAAGACCTGCCTCTGTGCCCACCACAGTTCCTTTCAAGGTGTATGAATTCATGCACTAGGCCCCTAGTGTATGTATATGAGTATATGAAATGTGATTTCTCTAGCTTTGTTAAATTACAGACTCTTAAAATGTGTACAGCATTTAAGGTAGTGAAAAAACATGAAGCAAAACAGTATTTTTTTTTTTTTGTAAAGATCACAATTAACCCCACATTTCTAACTTTGAAATATGTATTTAAATCCTTTTTTCTCAACCCACCAAACTCATGTGGAGCACTTGTTACACCACAAGTCTTTGAAAATATGATTGTCAATGATCATGTACACCTATCAGGAGGGACTTATTAATTTTCAGATTTACTCCTCAGGAAGTAGTATCTAGGGCATCAAAGTAAGAAAGCCAATGTGGTGGGGTGAGGGTGTAGAATAAAATCTATAGTGTCCATTTCTAAGATTGAGATAGGAGGGGGTATAAAGTTTCTAAAGGTTTATCAAAGCTGGACTTTGATAAACAGAAGCAGAGCAGAGTTACAGGAACAGAAGTGGATCCATGTTGTGTGTAAGGGCACATACAGACAGTACGCAAGCATGATGCACCTGGGAACTGAGGGCTAATCGCTGGAGAGTATTCACTCTCCTCCAAAAGGAAAGAAGTTCTCAGGGTTACATAAAGCTTCAGGCACAGACTCCACTATGTGCTGACCCCATCACACCTATACTTACCCACCAGCAAAAGAGGTAAATAAAGCCGAAAACCGGTTTGGCTCAGTGGTAGAGCGTCGCTCTGCAGACTGAAAGGTCCCGGGTTTGATTCTGGTCAAGGGCATGTACATTGATTGCGGGCATATCACTGGTAAGGGGTGTGCAAGAGGCAGCTGGTCGATGTTTCTCTCTCATCGACATTTCTAGCTATCTCTTTCCCTTCTTCTCTGTAAAAAAACCAATAATATATATATATATATATATATATATATATATATATATATATATATATGTGTGTGTGTGTGTGTGTGTGTGTGTGTGTGTGTATATATATATATATATATATATATATATATATATATATGTAAAGAGAGAGAGACAGAGAGAGAGAGAGAGAGAGAGACAGAGAGAGAGAGACAGAGAGAGAGAGGGAGAGAGAGAGGAGAGAGAGGTAAATAGACATAGATCAGTGATTTGTTATTTGCTCATATTAGTTAGAGGGAACACAATTACAATATATTCATGCAACTAGCATATACAGTAATTCTATGTTTTCTTGGCATTGTCACAGAAGAAAGTGTTTTATATAAAAATATGTTTCATGTAAATTTCAAGTACAAAACCCCTTTATAACTGTAAACACACCATTTAAAAACTCTCCGGAGTTTATTCTACACTCCCTGACTTTCTAAAAACAGTGATGTAGTGAATATAGTTTTTTTCCCTAATGATACTAGTACATGAAAAACATCAATAACTTTGCTGTGGTCTATAAATCAATGCCTTCAGAGGGTCTTGAAGTACATGAGACCTCTTACCCATCCACTAAGTGGCCTCAAGCTGTGTGGTTTCTGCTTTTAAGTTTTTCTGGCTCCCACCTCCCCATCCCCATCCCCATGGTGAGGCTGTCTTCTTTTATGACTTCTCACCAAAGTACTGTCTCCCACTTTCTTTCTCCCCCTTCCTTCCTTTCCACCATACCTCTACATTAGTATTTCTAATTTGTCTGAGGCCAGCACCCAGGTCTTTGAGAATATGATGTTCAATGATCATGTATACCTATCAGGTGGGACTTATTCATTTTTAGTTTTACTCCTCAGGAAGTGGTTTCTAGGGCATCAAGGTAAGGGAGCCAATGTGAGTCTCAATAATAGAAGTGAGTCTGCTGTAAGGCTCCCTGGTGTCTGACTGTTGGTCAGGGGCTTTTCTCGGGAGTAAAGTGGCGGGTGGGTGTGGGGAACTGGCTCTGTTACAGCTGTCTCCTCACATTTTCCTCTCTCTCCTTTCCGTGTTCTAAGCTGTGCCCTACAGGATTGAGCACACCCTACATTCGATGGAAATGTCTGCATCCATTTATAAAAATTTTAATATAAAATGGGAAGTCAGGACATAGAGAAAAAAGCACACACACACATGCTCTATACCGCACAACTTCTGCCATCATCAGCGTTCTGGGCATTTGTTTCGGTGCATGTTTCCTGGTAGTGGTGTGAGATGCATTTTACTAGGGAATGCTAAGTGAGGAAAATCCTATAATATAAAACTCTCTTTCCTCCTTGTAGTTTTGTGCACAATGTACATTTTTAAATTTTATTTGAGAAATCACTGCAGCAAGCTGTAAATGATGGAGCGACAAGTCTCACTCATAAAAAGAGAAAGAGCACTGAGCAAGGACTGCTGAGATGCACTGTTTCTGGTAAGATTTAGTTTATACTAAGCTCTGCAAACCCAGCAGGCTCTGAACTGTCAACACAGTGAGACAAAAATCCAAACCAAAGTGCATTTAATGTGTTCATTTCTTTTTTCTTCCCTTTCAATACATTTCCAGTTGAGCAATCAGTTGCAGGCCCCAGGAGGCATTGCATGCCTGTTGCCCTAGGTATGCAAAGTGCTGGGATCAGGATTGGCTCAGGAGGTGGAAATAGAAATTGCAGCCCTCTGGTCTCTCTCCCAAATCCTTACCATTGGCAAGTGAAATTCACCTACCAGGAAACTATAACGTGTGTTGGGGATAGAGAGATGGTATGCATGCCGGGTGTGTGTTTTAAGTAGAATGAGAAGTAGTTGGCCTCAATCACTAAGCTGGCCTCATGCCAGGTGCCCCAGTCTCTTGCTGGGTAGAGAGGAAATGCTTATATCCTGGATCAATGAGCTGTTCACCAAGACAGCATTGTTCTGGGACATGCTTGGAAGGGAACAGCGATGACATCAGATACAGAGAAAGGTTTGAGAACAGACATAGATAGGAGGCTCTCCTAAGAGGGAGCAAGTATTTGTTAGCTTTTTTTTTTTTTTTTTTTTTTTTTTTCTTAAAGGTATATTGACTTCAAACACCAGAGCAGTGTTTTAACTTAGAAATATGTACTTATACTTCATTACCATTACTTTGTAGGAAACATCTGATGTGGGTGTGAAATGTGCTAAGATATAGTGGGTGAAGAATGTCTTTTGCCTTTACCTGGTGCTGGGAAGCCCAGTGACACCTTCTTGTAAAGAGGATCAACCACAGAAACACCATAAACTCACATGTGATGTGGCACCATCTCAGGTCAGGTCAGCATCTCACAGCTCTAGTAGCTGGCCTTGGAGCGCAATGTTGTTTTCTTGAAACTTTACTTACTAGTGGTTCACAAGTATTTCTGGAGAGGGGAGAGGTTTGGGTGTATCTGAAGGAAGGCAAACGTTTGGGTTTCATGGCTGCCGTAAATGGCATTAGGGTAAGTGTATGTGGGTGTGAATCTCTGATCTAGACTACAACCCAGAAGACCGAGGCCAGCCTCTAAACACTCCTGAATCCAGCCATCTTCAGCCTTTCAGCCCTTATTTCAAGATCTGAGAATTAAAGACTTAATTTGTGTTCAATAAGTTTAGTTAAATTTATTCCTATGAATGCTTCATTTGCATAATAGTTTTGGTTTTGTAAACGAACACCTGAAAGGCTGTATGTTTCTCAGGCCCTGCCCCTGCCACCCATGTAAATTGCTAGCAGACATGGTGCTACCTGGGTTATGGCATCTCTGATTAATGATTCCCTCCACAGAATTATAACTCTCATTAAAAACTAAAATCTATACTTAAATATCTAAACATAGTAATTAAATAATCATAATATTTATACATATAATGGAGAATTTAAAATATATTTAAACAGTAGAAATGTATAAGGCTTTTAAAAATTAGATTTATATAATAATCATGCATTCATGTCATATTATTTTTTCTTTTTTCTTCATTATATTAATTTAGTTAATGTTTTAAGCTTGAAAGATGCCAAAACTCAAGCTAAAGTCACATTCTATCTCTCTCTTTAATAGGAAGTCTTTAGGCCTTTTCTAATACAGTGGTGCCTCGCATAAAGAACGCCTTGCACAGCGAACGCTGCACACAACGAACTTCATTTCATGATTCATACAACGAAGTCGCCCGAGCTTCCACGACTGCTTCGCCCGAGCTTCCACGATCGCTGCCGATGTATTGCATCCTTCTGCGCAGGCACTGCAGGCAGTCGTTAGTCACTGCGCTTAACTTAAGCACGTATCGCGGCAATCGTTCTTCATTACGAATTAAATCACGCACGTATCTCGGCAGTCGTCCTTTTAAGTTAAACTCAATATTTTTTTTATATCATGATGTATCTAAATAAAAATAATAACAAAAAATTTATCTTTTTTATGTCATCTTAGCATATTTTATGCTACAGAACGAATTATTTTTTTTAACATGTATTGTTATGGGAAAACGCGTTTCACATAACGAACTTTCCACATAACAAACTTGCTCCTGGAACGAATTAAGTTCGTTGTGTGAGGCACCACTGTAATTCCAAGGAAAATTTTAGCTTCACAGTAGAAAAAGACATCTGAATGGATTTCTGGTAGCTTCCATTCTACAATCTTACATCACTGCCTCTTATGAATTTAACTTTTTGTGCCACTTTGGTAATTTATTTTATTTTATTTTATTTATTTATTTATTTTTATTTTGTACAGAGAGGAAGGGAGAGAGATAGAGAGTTAGAAACGAGAGAGAGTCATTGATCAGCCACCTCTTGCACACCCCCTACTGGGGATATGCCCGCACCAAGGTACATGCCATTGACCAGAATTGAACCCAGAACCCTTCAGTCCCCAAGCCGATGCTCTATCCATTGAACCAAACCGGTTTCGGCCACTTTGGTAATTTTCTTCTTTGCTTTTAAACTAAACTTTGGTAATCTTTTATTGCTCTTTGTTTTAAATGGTCATCTATTAGACATCTCTAAGAGAAGACTAAATACGCCATCTACTTAATTGTTTTTCCTCTATTAAAAAAATAAGTTTAGTGAATATAACAGAAATATTGATCTAAAATTTGAAAAAAAAATGTTTATATGCCCATAGCCCTAATTAAAACTTCTGTCATCTGGATCCTGAATTATCATAAGATCTCCCTGTCCTGAACTGTAATACTGTGATGATGTGTGATGATGGTAACACTTATGTTTGAAGGGCTTACTATATACTAGATACTATTTTAAGTCATATATGTGTGTGTGTGTGTGTGTGTGTGTGTGTGTGTGTGTCTGTCTGTCTTCAAATAAACCCTTTGAAAGTAGACAAGATACTATCCCCATTTGAAAGATGAGGAACTTGAAACTTAAAGAAGCTTAGAAAATTGGCCAAGGCCATGGCAGTATTAAAGTCTGAAGTAGCTTCATACCTCTGGTTGTAGCCCCTGCTCATTAAACTAGCTGTGGAATTCTTCAATTCTCCACACAAATAATTAGGAAACAATATAAAGATTTCTGAAAATAGAGAGGCAAAGAGCTGACACTATAAACCAATAACAAATAACCTAAAAATACAACTGCATATTATGTTCTCTAACATCCCTTTTGGCAATCTCATTCATTACACTGAATGTCTCTATGTTGGCTCCACCCCCATCCAGCTCTCCTCACTGGCAAGTGTCTGAAGTTTCTGATTCTCTTGTAAACTTTGAGCTCTCTTTCCCAAATGTACAGTTCTTTTCAGATCTTGTTCCCCAGTAGCCTACAAAACTATCCAGGTATTGTTTAGCCGCAACCTGCTTTCCCCAAAATAAAGTCTACATTCTCAGAAAGTATAATAATGGTATAAAGTGAGAAACAACATGTTTCTATTGGAATTTATTTATAGATAGTTACAAAGCCTTTGTAATCATCTCCTGCTCAATATATAGGTTTAATGCAGTCCCCAGCAAAATCGTAATGACATTTTTTTTTCTAAGAAATAGAACAAAATATCCACAAATTTGTATGGAACTACAAAAGACCCTGGTTAACCACAACAATCCTGAGAAAAGAGAACAAAGCCAGAGAAATCACATACCCATACTTACAAATTATACTACAAAGCCACAATAACAACAGCAATAAAAAATGATATTGTCAGAAAAACAGACACACAGACCAGTACAACAGAATTGAAAGCCCAGAAACAAACCCACAGGGATATGGGCATTTCATTTTCAGCAAAGGAGCCAAAAACATACAATGGGAAGAGGAAAGTCTCTCCAACAAATGGTGTTGGGAGAACTAGAAAGCCATGTGCAAAAGAATAAAACTAGACTTATATTTGATGCCTTATGTAAAATTAACTTAAAATGAATGAAATACTTAAATATAAGGTCCGAAACAATACAATATATAGATGAAAACATAGGTACTAAACTTAAGAATCTTGGCCTCAACGAGGCCAAATGGGGGAAGATATTTGCAGACAATGCCTCTGATAAGGAGCTAAGATCCAAAATATGTAAATAACTCATATAAGTCAATAACAAAAATACATATTCAAATTTTTAAAATGAGCCCACGAGCTGAACATTTTCCCCAAGAAGACTTACAAATGGCGAGCAGATTTATGAAGAGATGCTCAATGTCACTAGCTATAAGGGAAATGTAAACCAAATCACAATGGGATACCACCTCACACCCATTAGAAAGATATTATCAAGAAGATAACAAATAAGTGATGGAGAGGATGTAGAGAAAAATAAATCCTCATACACTACTGGTGTATGTAAACTGGTAAACAGTATGGAGTTTTCTTAAAAATAAAAACTAAATCTACTACATAATCTATCAACCCCTCATCTGGGTATCTATCTAAAAAAATTTGAAAACATTTATTCATAAAGATATATGTACCCCTATGTTCAGTATAATATTATTCATGGTAGCCAATATGGAAATGATTGAAGTCCTTCAATGGGTAATTGCATAAAGAAGATGGGGTACATATATTCAAAGGCATACTACTCAGAAATCAGAAAGGATGAAATATTGCCATATACAACAATATGGGTAAATCTTGAGAGTATCATGCTAAGTGAAATAAGTCAGACAAAAGGACAAGAACCATATAATTTCAGTCATTTGTAGGATATAAAACAGAAAGGTATAAACAAACAAAATAAACAAACAAATAGACACAGATAACAGTTATGCAGGTTAACAGAGGGGAAGAGAGGTGGAGGAAGGATGAAGAGGGAAGGATGAAGAGGGGAAGAATGAAGAGGGTAAAGGAGATTAAATATATGGTGATGAAGGGAGACTAGAATTTGGGTGGTAATACACAATGCAATATACAGATGCCATATCATAAAGCTGTAACCTTGAAACATATAATAATATTAACCAATGTTACCTCAATGTATGTATGCAATTAAAAATTATCACCTACTGATGTTCCATAATTAATCAATTATTCTTTTATTGTTGAATATTTTAGCGTTTTTTTTGGTCATTTTATTTGTTTTTGTTTTGTTTCAGATAACACCACACCACCACTTTTATTCATTTGGACTTTGCTTTTGTTGAAATATTTCTGCAGGATAAATTCCCAGGAGAGAGACTAATAGGTCAAAGGATATGAATATCTTTACCTTGCTTATTTTCCAAATAGGTTTTATCAGTTAACAGAACTCCCAGTTGTTTGTAAGTTAAAAGCCATACTAAAATGTTGTCAACATTATTTCTGTTTTAATACAATGCAAAAGGATAAAATTATTTTCTGATATATTCATTTTCTGTTTGTATTTTCCTAGTTGTGAATGTTCTGTCCATAAACTTGGATCACTGCCTTTATGGAAACTGTTTTTCTTTGTTTTGTTTTTGGATTTGAATACCACTTGCACACAAAAACCATTAACATTTTGTTGGCTAAACTTGATGCAAATATTTTAATATGTTATACTAGTTTTTGTTTTAGTAAAGTTTTGCATTCAAGTATTAATATATATTAAATATACATTGCATCAGTCAGTCTTTTCCTATGTGATTGGTTGTTGTTGTTGTTTTTGTTTTTGTTTTTATTTTTGCTTTGGAGCTGAGAAATCCATTTCTTTCAGATATCAGATAACAATTACAATATCTCATGTTTACCTCTTTCATAGCCTTGGAATATATTTTGAAGTCTGAAATTGATATTCAGTGTTGAGATAGGTTTTCATTTTCCCTAATTTTCAAAAAGACTTTTTGTCAAGGACAAATTTTACTTTCATGACAGGAGTTACCTGAAGGGCTTTGTGCTATGAAAAGGGTGAAAATTATGGTTTCTGGGAGGGGTGGAGCCAGGAAGAGAAGAGCAGTGAAAGGGGAACCCAGGAGGCCTGCCAGAGAATGGAAGGCAAACTGTCTCCTTCACCTGGGCAGTACCAGGGTGGAATTTTCAACCAGACCTGTGCCCTTGAGTTACTATCATTGTGTGGGGTCTGGACTGATAGGTTACACTTTTTCAAGGCAGTTAGAAGGGTAGCCTAAGGACCTCTTTTACTCCAGATTGAAGATATGTTTTAGACCAAAACTGGTAACGAAACAAAATTTTATTTAAATTAGGTAATTGAACATAATTATTGGTTTAAACAAGAAAAGATAATTTGATAAAATCAAGCAGGACAGCCTTAGAAAACTGAGGACATGAAAAATCCCCAACATACAACAAATCTTTGTTAAAAATAAAAGACCCTTATCCCAGTCAGTATGGCTCAGGGGTTGAGTATCGACCTATGAACCAGGAGGTTACCATTCGATTCCAGGTCAGGACACACGACCTGGTTGCAGCTTTGATCCCCCAAATGGGACTTGCAGAAGGCACCCCATCAATGATTATCTCCCATCAATGATATTTCAATCTATTCCTCCCTCTCCCTTTCTCTCTGAATCAACTAAAACTAAAAATAAATAAATAAATAAATAAATAAATAAAGCTGGTCAAATCTCATTCCTCAACACATAGGAGCTCACGAAGGCAACGGGGGTCTTAGTTCCAATAGGGCAGAGGTTTATTTCTAGAGCTAAGAGTAAGTCAGCCTCTTATTGACTGTGCAGAACTGGGGATAAAAGAGCAGAATTATGGCTTTTCTCAGTTTAGGTTCTTGCAAGGGTATTTCTTAGATAACAAGATCTCACACATCTAGAGGAAATGATGAACAACATAGACTGATGAACAAAAACAGACTCAGAGAAAGAGAAGCACCAAACAGACTTTCAAACCTCAGAGGAAAAATAGGGGAGGGTGGGGGTAAAGGGGAAGAGATCAACCAAAGGACTGGTATGCGTGCATATAGGCCTGGCCAGTGGCCGTGGACAACGGGGGGGGGGGGGGGGGGGGGGGGGGTGAGGGCATATGTAGGGAGGGGTTTGGGATGGGATTGGGGGGATGAGGACAATTATGTGATACCATAATCAATAAATAAAATGGGGTGGTGGGAAGAGCAGAATATGCTGACGGTCGTAGTGCAACTAGCTCTCTGTTTTTCTCCTTTTTGGGCCCCATTTTTTCTGATATTGGATTCATAAGAATGTCTTTTTTGGTTTACCTAAAGCCAGAATTTCCCTGCAAAGTGGAAAATACTGGAAAGCAACTGAAGAAAGCTAAGCTTTGCCTGAGAATTCAGATATTTTACACAGCTATAATCCTTTAATTTCCTTTATATCCACAAATTCACAGAATATAAATGCTGAGCTCAAATACAAATATATTCCTTTAATAGTTTGATTCCTTTGTAAACAGGGACCCTTCTGTTAGGAAAGAATTCTCCTTCAAAGGAATTAGTTGGGTCTGGAGTCAGAAAGCTAAATTAACAAGCACAGCACTCTAGTACATGGAATACATGTGTCTCTCTGGATGGGTTTAGAAAGAAGTAACAAAGGGAGAAGGATAGATCAGGAGTCTACTTCTCCAGTGTTCTCTGTGCCTTCACTGAGGATACCAATGTCAGAAGAAAAACTGTCCTTACCTCCAGGAAGGTAATCCCTTCTTCTCTCTTACTCCCATCAACTTCTGACTTTTCTCTATTGACCAATCTGTTTAGCTTATATCATCTCATACTTTTTTTTTGCCTTAAAAACATGATTAGGTTGGGGACATCGAGGCTAATAAAGAGAAATAATTAAGGTTTAGTGAGTACAAGTTTGGACCAAGCGATGTATGTATGTTTTCTCATTTCAATGTCCCTCAAAATTAGGAACCTTCACATTAGTGCTGTGAAATACCATTTCTAATTCACTTTACAGATTAAAAACCTGAAACTCCAGGAGTTGAAGTAACTTGGATGTGGTTACACTGCTAATTTGTTGCACTGTTGGAATTTGAAGTCAGATCTGTTTCATGCCAGATCCTGTGCTCTGTACCACTTAGCCTTGCCCAGCTGCAAATCTCTTCTTCGTAAAATAGCAAACCAACAACTTTCACCCTGCCATTCTTCCCACTTCTACTTGTATATCGAATAGTTCAAATGTCTTCTGATAACTCCTGATTGCCTCCCAAGACAGCATAGGTCCTGCTTCCTGTCACCCCATCTAGCTCTCTGTCCATACTTTTGTTAGCCTGTCTCCTTTTCTGGGTCCCAATAAAGCATTTAAATGATGGATTCAGGTGTCAGACTGCTTCAATTCATATTCAGTCTTGAACCAGCTAGCTGAGAGAACAGGAGGAAGTTACTTTTTTGCATTTCAGCCATTGGAAAAAAAGCATTAAATGCTAAAATCTTTATTTACCTAACAGTTATTATAGCATGAAGTAATTTTAACTGTCATATAGCAAGAGCCCAATAAATAGTGGCTACTTTTTTGGGGCTGATAAACTTCAGGGTAGCATTTATGTAGCATCTAATGCTTCTAGCATGGTGTCTGATTCAGAACAATAATTTAACAAGATTTCACTGAATAAATAAATATAATTAAGAAGTGTCTATACTCATTACTTAAAGCTGATTTTTCTTTAAACCCTTGTAATCTGAATTCTTCTACCACTAATTCATTATTGTTATTATCTAAGTCATTAGTAACTTCTTAATTGCTAAATCCAATAGTTCTCTCTCCTCAGTTTTTAAAATATTGGACAGCTGATGCCTTACTTCCTAAAACCCTACTTGCCCCTGACTAATGGCATGGTATCCAAGTGGATCTCTATGCTCGTCATGGACAAATCTGTCAATTTAACCTGTATACCTCTTCATGCCAATCTGCTGATTTTATCTTATAAAGTCTCTGCAGTCTACTTCTCTCTATTCATATGCATTACTGTGGATCTAATCTTAATTTTTATAACCTCATTTGTAGGCTACAGAAATGGTTCCCATTCTTTCTTCAATATTATGTTTTTATTACACTTTAGCTAGAATCCCCCCCCCAAAAAAATACAGATATGATTATACCACCCATGCATTGTCCCTTAATCTCACTTTTGAATTTTTACTTGTTTCAATGTAATTACTATCTTACTTTGCCAGCTTCCAAGTTTTAGGATATTTTGACTCTTCTTCGTGACTTTCCCATCTTGCCAATACTTCTTATTAATCAATATCTCTTCTCTTTATTCTTTTTCTTTCATATACCTCCTGTAGGATGCTACATGTAGGCAGTAAGTAGAAAATCAGTGATTCAAAAGACAAATAGAATCGAATCAGTAATTTGCAAATAAAAGAGACAAAACGAGGATTCTGATATCATATAAAAGCAATGAGAAGATATTTTTAACCAAGGCATCCCTATAATTCATCTAGGAGTCTCTACATGCTTTTTGATATGGAGGGTATGAGCCCCCATGTGTGGCTTTAAGAGGGAAGGCAGATGGATATCAGACCATGCACAGCAATATGGGTGCATAGAGAAGCAGGAAACAGCAGAGCTTCCACAGGACAGTTCCTTAGAGGTTAGTTCCACAGCCTTCCCACACAGGATTATGTGTGTGATGGTAATCATAAAAACAGGCTGCTACCTGCTCTGCAGCTGTTTCAGTAAACTCATTCTTTATAATTTCCAGGATGTGAAATTACTCATCTAAATTTTCTTCACATAAATGCTGCTTGATGAATAAAAGTACAGTGCAGATTATGTCCTTTAATGGTACCACTAATCTTCTGTAATAATGGAGGGTGATGATTATTGTTTATGTTATTCAAGGTAAAAATGGATTTGTACGAGTGCATGTGTGATTTTGGAAGGGGAGAAAGGGAAATGGGACAGCTGAGTCAGAGTGCTAGATTGAAGAAACGGATCAGCACTGATTATTTCTGATTATTTTAATCCTCTGCATGAGGTAAATGCATTAGAAAACCATGTGATTTTCATATTTTAATATTTGATTTCTGAATCACCGCAGTGATCAGTGAAAAAGTAAAGCGGATTTTATGTTCTGTTTATGAAGTGGAGACAATTCCTAAGAGTACAGGGATTACTGGCACAAAAGCAGAATATTAAGTTCCAGTTTCTTCTTCAGGTCTCTACCTCCCAGGTAGCAGAGATAGAAGTATCATCTACAGACATTTCCACCCATTATCTCTGTTTTAAAAGCTTAACTGTGCCCACCCAACTCCCTGCCCAATTCTGTGCTTGTGAACTTGGCTGCCAATTATAAAAGCATGTGGGCAGTTGAGGTATGAACAATGGATTAATGGTTTGTAGACCAAGAACAGTTGCTATTTATTTCTTTTTATAGCCCAGCACACCTGGGAAGCAAGTGTGGGAAGGATTTTTTACTTGATGACTCCACTTTGGAGTCCATACAGAATAAACATTCTTCTCTAACTTAGCTAGCCAAGTGAGCCACTTAAAGTAACATTTGCTTTCTCATTTGTAATAAGTAAGGGAGAAAGTCCATGAAAATAGGTGCAATACTTTTGTATTCTTATTTTTATATACATGGTGTCCCAAAAAATGCATACATATGTTACTGGCTGATAGCTTAATTTTGAAAATAAAACGTATTTTAATAAACACTGCCTTTATAATTATTCAAAGTATGTATATATTTTTGAAACATCCTATATTTATTTGTTTAGTGTCTCAGTCAGTTTAGCAAAGCTAACACCTTTGTTCATCTGTCTTTTACAAGCTCTAACTACTGACTTGTTTTTAAATTAAAAAAAAATACACAAACACACATACAAAACAGGTAATAATCTTGGTCACTGGGAAACATTCCCAGACTAATTTTTCTTTCTGTTTCTATAATGGTTGATTTTATATTATCATTCTTTCCTTTTAAGCTATTTGAAAGTATCATATCAGCCGAAACTTGTTTGGCTCAGTGGATAGAGCATTGGCCTATGGACTGAAAGGTTCCAGCTTCAATTCCAGTCAAGGACATGTACCTTGGTTGCAGACACATCCCCTGTAGGGGGTGTGCAGGAGGCAGCTGATCAATGTTTCTCTCTCACTGATGTTTTTAACTCTCTAT